ATGATCTGAACTCCATTATTCAAATAAGTTCCAAGGGCATGTGTCTTCAAATTTCTATTGCATTACAAAGATCCAGATGGCTGAATTTAGGTTTAATAAACCTAAATGCTACTTTGATTTCCTTGCCATTTAATGGTGAAAATGCACTTCTCCCTCTTCTACCAGAGAAAAGCATGGGATTTCAAGTCTTCCAACAAGTTTAATTTAAAATCAATATTTGTCTGCTCTCTGGGTCTTTGAAAAATGTCCAAGATGGTGTTAGAGTAGAAAGCAAACGTGTAAAACAAGTTCTGCAAATCAGAAAATCAGCACTGGACTGGGTCACTTCAAATGAGCTGCTGTATTTCAAAGGTATAAACATTTCTGATAACTAGTCATTTAGCTGTTTCTTGCCTATCTCCAGTCAAAAATAATGCAAAACCACTCTAGATGATCCGTTATATTTTGACATTAAAAACCACTTTGTTCGTCTTTATTTTTAGCCAAAATATGATCTCTCTATAACTGCCCTCATTTGATTTTAGGGACAAAGAACAAATCTCTTCCTTCCCCCCCCATTTTTTTAAAGATTTTATTTATTTATTTGACAGAGAAACAGCGAGGGAGAGGGAACACAAGCAGGGGGAGTGGGAGAGGGGGAAGCAGGTTTCCCGGCTCGAGCAGGGAGCCCGATGCGGGGCTCAATGCGGGGCTTGATGCGGGGCTCGGGCTCGATGCAGGGCTCGATCCCAGGACCCTGGGAAGAAAGAGATTCTGCTTTCCTCTAATCCCAAATAATGAGATTTTCCTTCTCTTTATAAACTTGATCTGAACCCAACTCTTCTGGAGCCAATGATCCATCATTTCTTTGAATCTCTCTCTCCCAATTTATTCTCTTCATCAGGCTATTAAACTACTTTTTTCCAGTTAAAAAAAAAATTCTTCTCTTTACCGCTTGTCTCATTATATAATTATAGTACCAGGTGTGTCTTGTAAGAATAGACCATATCTTCACGATTGTCTTGTAAGAATAGACCATAATCATTATCTCCATTTTCTTACCTTCCAATTTCTCTTGAAGCACTAACATTAGGTTTCTGCCTTCCTTATTCCATTTATAGTGGTCTTTAAAAGGTAAAAAATCACATTCTAATAGCCTTGCAATTACAGTGCACCCCAAAGTAAAAACTCATCATTCGTCCGAAAATGGTATTTTCTAGAATCCTCAAAACCTGAAAAGTCTCCTTAGCTGTTCTTCCCCACCCCTCAAATCTAGTCAGTCCCTAAGTTCCACAGCTTACTCTTAAATTCCATTCTGTTTCTATCATTGTTTCTTCACATAATCAGTGGGCCTGGCATATATTCAGGGATTAATAAATGTTTAAGTATACGAACTAATTTATTGAAGAAGGGCAGCTTTTGGGCCAGTTCTATCAGCTACTTCTCATGCTTGCTTATAACAAGTCTCCAGAGAGCTCTTTGATGTTCCCTTGTCAGTTACTGGTCACTAACCTAGACCCTCAGATTAAGGAGGCATCTCCTCTCCTTGATGACAGACTTAGACTACGCAAAACATATTTGCCTTGACTTAGAACTTACATGGTAGTTTTTGTTCTTCAACTGACAGCATGGCTAGAAGGCCTAGAACAAACCTCCAGTGCATTCCTAACCTATTATAATCTTATTCTCTCTTCCTCCTTCACAATTAACTCCTCCTCCGCTGATTCCATTCAGGTGGAAGACTGGCCAGGCCTGGGAACTTCAAATTTTCCCTGATGTTTCCAGTAGCAGTATTTGGCCTTTAGTTATTTTAAGTTTGAAGAGTTAAGAAATATCTGTATTTCTGGGCTGTTGCAAAACCCTGGCATTTGCCATTGGCCATGCCCGATACTTTGGCATCCACTTTTACTTGCATTATTTCTAGACAGCTTCTTCTGTTCTTTAAAATAGGAATAGAAGCTGAGGAGGCCCATAGCCCTAGAGGATTCTCTCATTACTCTCATAAGAAAGGATATAACTCAAACAGATAATGTACAGTTGAGAAGCTGGTGTAAACATAAATCAAAGTTGTAGAAAACTATGATCAACCCTCTACTGAAAGTCCTTCTATCACAATAGTGATTATACTAACACTAACATAGTACCTATTGGGTACCAAGCATTATTCTAAAGGTGCTGTATATAAAACTGTTTAATCCTCCAGCAAATGATGTGTGTAACATTACCATTTTCCCAATCGCATTAAAAAACTGAGGCAAAATTATTTGTCCAATTACACAGATTATAAGTGGCAGACCTCGGGTTCATACCTGTATACTTAATTATTAATCTACACTGCCTCTCCCTGAATACAGTCAAGAGATTCAATGCCAAGTAATCCCTTCCCAAACTCAGACCGGTGCCTTACACGGTTGGAAACATGTTCCCACCTTGCTTTCCTGATACATAGTACACTCTACAAAGCTTGCCCCAAGTCAAATGTCAATAACATGAACAAAACGTGTGATGTAGAAATACATGCCATTTCAGGAATTCTGTTTGCCCAAAGAAGACTATTATTAGGGCGCCTGGGTGGCTCCGTCGGTTGAGTGTCTCTGCGTTCAGCTCAGGTCATGATTCCAGGGTCCTGGGATCTAGTTCTGCATTGTGGGTCCCTGCTCCGTGGGGAGTCTGCTTCTCCCTTTATCCTCCCCCTACCGCGCCCTCGCTCGTGATCTCTCTTTCTCTCTCTCAAATAAATAAATAAAATCTTAAAAAAAAAAAAGAAAAGAAAACTATTATTAGCCGGAGAAGAATACCGTAACTCGCCGGATCTGCAGTTTCAGTTCCCAGCCATCAACCGCGGCGCGGAAGCAGATGGAAGATCCTCCCGACGAATCGGCAGAAGGTCAAAAGAAGCCTAACTTTACGTCAGAATGCTACGTCATTACCTCGCTTAGTCTCGCGGAGGCATTCTATGATCTCGTTTCATCACGGGAAGAAGGGTGAGTACCGCATAATAAGATATTTTAAGAGAGCGAGACCACATTCACATAACTTTTATTACAGTCTGTTATGATTGTTCTATTTTATTATTACTTATTGTTGTTACTCTCTTACTGTGCCTAATTTATAAAATAAACTCTATCATAGGTGTGTATAGATAGGAAAAAGCATAGTATATATAGGGTTCAACACTATCCGGGCACCCACCAGGGGCCTTGGACTGTATCACCCGCGGATAAGGGGGGACTGCTGTACTGGCTTGTGTTTCTCTTCAGTTACCTAAGTAGATATATTTGGAACTAATCCCTGCAAAGATTTGGGAAATCAACATAGGAGAGTTGAGCAGAAGGAGACATCAAAACTAAACAAGGGGATATCATTAGGAACCTTGTTTTCTTCCCTGAGGCCCCTAGCACCTGGTAGATTTCCAAAATCTTAGAAGAAAACAGATAATGACAGTAATATTTATCCTCTTGACTATTAACTCTGTGCTAAATATTCTGGCCTGCATTATCTTTAATCACTCCCAAACCCCACAAATTAGATATATCAGTCCCCCATTTTGCAGATGTTTGCCAAGGCTGCAAGAATTTAGCGTTATTCAGAATCGAAGAACTTGTGGTAGTGGAATTGAATAAAAAACTGAGTTTCTCTGGTTCCAGTGGGTGTGCTTTTTCCATAAACGTACCTTGAATTGTCAGTCATAGGAAGACATCTTTCTCAAGAAACAGTAGCAAAATACTTACTATATCACCTAGTGAGGACTTGTGGTCCAAACTGAATCAACAAGATTCCTGCTAGCTTTATATTCCAAAGAAACTGGTTCTTCATCGCGTTTATGCCTATACCTCTTCATATATGTATGTTTGACAAACTTAAATTTGAGGATTGATCAAGCACGTTTAGTAATGTGGAGAAAGGCCTATGGATAGATCCTTTTGTAGTTCGTAAACGTGATGATTGGGTGATTGGGTGTTCATGCCATTGTGTGGCATGTGCCTCCCTCAAACCTTGTTACCGCCAAAATGCCTAAAATGAAAATCAAAATGGAGAAATAGGTTATGCATAGTGAGTGTATCAGTCAGGATGGGCGAGGTTATACTACAGTAACAACAACAAAAAATTAAACTCTCCGTGACCAGACAAAAATTTATTTCTTGCTCACTTGAAGCCAGTTTAGGGTTCAAGGGACTCTCCTGGGTATCTGCCTTGAATGTCGTTGTTTGACAATCCAGGGTGCTTTGAGCTTTTGGCAACTCCTCAACATGCATCTTCACAATTTCAGGGAAAGAGAGTGTGGTGGGTCTTGCACTGTCTATTTAAGTATCTCCACACAGACATGACATGTATCACTTCACTTCCAGTCCATTGGCTCTCCAATGTGCCTAGGAGAAGAGAAACAAACAAGGATGAGTAATAGAGGTATCTCCTACACAGAGCAAAAATTGAAAAAGAGAAAGAGAATGGAGAGTATAACATAGAAAGAGAAAATCGATAGAGTATACTGTTTTATGATTGCATAATGGCTTGATAATTGTTTTTTCTATCTTAGGCTCTGAATGTTAAAAATTATTCTATAGTCTTTCAGGGGGAAAACATGTAAATCTCCACTGTTAAAGTTGAAACAGCTCACTAAATGTTATATACCCTCCACCACTCTTTGAGATGTTGCTCCTTCCCTGAAGGCTTTTGTAGGAGGTTGAAGAGGTGGATGAGTAAGAGTAAAGAGACTGAATATGACAGCAGAGCAAATAGTTTGTATTACAAAAGCAAATCACTTCTCTGATTCTTTCCTACCTTTTTTTACCTTTGAAATGAAAAATGTTGATTCCATTTATATACTTTAATATCATGAAGGCATGAACTCTTGCTTGTATTTATAACAGCACTAGTCATTCTATCACTGCTTAGAAAATGAAAAATGATTTTACCACTTTAAACTTGAGCCCAATTTTTTTTCATTTTACAGTGAGAATATAGTTTTAAAGAGAACTGTTGCTGGAAATAAGAGCCTGAGGAAAGAACATGGTCCTTCATCTCACTTGAGGGGCATCGTGTTCCTCTCTGTTGTACTACCCAGAGCTAATGTAGTCTAAGTGACATACAAATTGAATTGGCTTTCCAGATTTTCATATACTTGTAAGAGGCTGTTGAAGAATATAGACTCATAGAGGTAAAAATATAAGAAACTTAAATTTTTTTTTTCACCAACTGTCCTCAATAGTTACTATGCTATAAATTACTTTTTCCATCTCTTATTGCATCTTTGTCAGAGTCTGTAAATTTTCCAGGCACTTTTGTTTATTAAAATTCCAATCAGGTCTACAGCATCAATATTGTATGAATTCAAAGCTGTTCTTCTCCAGAGATAAATTTGAGTAACTTGGTGGTTATATGTTCTTCTTACAGGATTCCTACTCCTAAAATCTTGTAAAAGTTCTGAATCCTCTGGGCTTGGGATACAGATCAGAGAAAAGTGGCAAATCTCTCTGCATTTGTCTGTGTGATGACACAATCCTCTTCTTATCATTTTGTTTTGGTTTTGTTTTTGTTTTTGTCACTTTTCTGACTGTCATTGATTGGCTATCTATGCTTTATAGAGAATATTCAGTCTAACTCTTGATGGTTAGGCAAATATATGGATTCTTTTGAGCTTCTCCACTACAAAATTTTCTTTTGTGCATGGTCTAGAGTTGTCTCGCTTTTCCCCTTGAAAGCCCACAACCATTGGTCTACCTTCGTGGTTGGTTACCTTACTGTTCATCAGTGGGAATCTCTCTCAGGTGAAGTACTAGCAAGATAGCTGAAGTCCATTTACCTTCTGAATTGTCCATTCTGTCCTTAGGTGTGTTAAATGATGATAAGAATAGATGGTCCTCCAAGGATTTCCACATTCGAATCCCTGGGTTCTATGAATATGTCATATTACATGACAAAGGGAAATTAAGGTTGCAGATAGAATTAAGGTTGCTGATCCCAACTGACTTTAAATGAGAGATTATCTTGAATTATCGGGGGGAGGGATGGTGGGGATCCAGTGTAATCACAGAGGTCCTTAAGAATGGAAGAGGGAAGCAGAACGTTGGGTCAGGGTGGTATGATACGAGGACTTGATGTTACTAGCTATGAAGATGGAAGAAGAAGCTTATGTGCCAGGGAATGTGAGTGACCTCTAGAAGCTGGAAAAGGCAAAGAAATGGATTCTTTCCTAGAGACGTCAGAGGCAGCTCTACTGACACCTTGACTCTAGTCCAGCGAGAACTGTGTCAGACTTCTAATCTACAGAACTATAAAATTGTGAATTAAAACTGTCAGTTAGTTTTAAGGCACTAAAGCTGTGGTTATTTTCCCAACTCAGGCAAAAGTACAGACTAGCAATTCTACAGCCTGGGTAGATGTCTATACAGGGAACAAATTGCACTTTCCCTTCACACAAGCAGTGGTTTTCTTTTTACTTTTAAGTTTATTTTCTTCCTATAGTATACATAAATGGAGTAAATGTTTTACCAAGCCCTTTGCAAAAACACAGCAGCCTCTTGCCGTCAATACCCTCTACTGTTTCCTCCTTTACAGAGGCAACGAACTTTAATTCATTTAGCTATGTCTTTTGGTAGTCATTCCTCTAAATGACATGCTTATACTGCTACTTCTTGATCTTTCTATATCTGTTGATTTCCCCCAGTGGAAAACTTAACTACACTTTACCTACATCTTTGCCTACCATATGTAAACTTCCCTCCCTCCCATCATCCCAAGAGGGTTATGTTATAATTTTGTCTTAATCATTATTAAGAATTTACATTGTTATGACCATGTAAATATTCACGTAGCATACTATGATTATTTTCTTGTGTAACACTTCATCATTTCTGGAATTAAAATTGTCTTTTCTGCTTATTTTTTGATTTTCCATGTACAGATTTTATTTCCACCTCAAGTTTTTGCCAAATAATATAAATCCTCTACCAATACTTTTAGATACAACAGGTGTTCTATTTTTAGTATTTTTGGAGAAAACGCTAAATCTGGATTTTAATCCGGATCTCCTTTAATCTGGACTGGTCGTTTCTAGGTCCCTGCAAACCATTTCTCCTGGGATCTCCTTTCATTATCTTCCTGAGGATTCTTGTCTCCTCTGGCTTGTTGCCAGATCTGTTTCCAGTGTCCATTACTGAGAAAGTGTGTTCAGGAGGCAAATTTTGAGGATTTTGTCTATCTAAAAACATCTCTACCCTTGTCTTGAATTTATTTTGTTTGGGAGTGGAACTGAAAATAATTTTTGCTCAGAATTTTGAAGTAATTGCTCTATTTTCTTCCAGCCTTCAACAGTGTTGATGACAGGCTACTAAAGCCATTCATTTTTTTTAAAGTAATCTCTATACCCTATCCCCATCTCTCCCAAAGTTTAGACCCTTTCTGATTTTTCTTTTCTTTCTTTTCTTTCTTTCTTTCTTTCTTTCTTTCTTTCTTTCTTTCTTTCTTTCTTTCTTTCTTTCTTTCTTTCTTCCTTCCTTCCTTCCTTCCTTCCTTCCTTTCCTTTCCTCCCTCCCTCCCTCCTTTTCTTTTTTCTTTCCTTCCTTCCTTCCTTCATTTCTTCTTCTTCTTCTTCTTCTTCTTTTTGAATTGGAAAATAATGTGTCTTCTCTTGGTGTGGATCTATTTTGAGTCCATTGTCTTGGCACTCAGATATTATAGTTTGCAAATTTTTATTCTTCTGTATGTAAAATATTTAAAGTATTTCTGATGATTTGCTCCCTTCCATTTTCTTCCATTCTTCTGAATTCTCGTTATTTGAATATCGAATCTCCTAGACTGACAGTCTGTTATAGATTGAATATTTGTGTCTGCCCCAAAATTCATGTTATAACCTAATCCCCAATGTGATGGTATTTGGAGGTGGAGCCTTTAGGAGATGATTAGGTCATGATGGTAGAGCCTTCATGGATGGAAGTGGTGCCCTTTTAAGCTGTTGAAGAGACAAGAGCACCCTGTTTCCCCTTGTGAAGTTACAGTGAGAAGAAGGTTGTTCTGTGAACCAGGATGCTAGTCCTCAGTATACAGCGAACCTGCCAGTGCCCTGATCTTGGACTTCCCAGCCTCTAGAATTGTGGGAAATAAATTTCTGTTGCTTATAAGCCTTCCAGTCTATGGTATTTGTTATAGCAGTCCAAACAGACTAAGGCAATCTCTAAATTTTATTTTCTCTCTCCCCTTCCTTCCTTCCTTCCTTCCCTCCTTCTTTCTTTCCTTTCTTGAGAGATTTTGCTTTCAGGGAGTTCTCAACTCACTTCCAACTCACCTATTGAGTTTATTGTTTCTCTTCCTTATTTTTAATTCTCAAGGGCTCTTTTTGGTTTCTAAATATACTTTAAAAATAGCATCCTGTAATTGTTTCATGAATGCTGCATTTTACCATCTATTTTATCCTCTCCAGAGACCAAAACCTCCCATTATTTACCAGGTTGGAGAAGATAGAGTAACCTGAATATATGAAGTAAGTAAGGGGATCTAAGATTCTAACTTCTTCTTAAACAGACTTTCAGCCAATCTGCTATTTTAAAAACCATCTTTTCCTTTACTTCCAAAGCATCTGGTGCTTCCAACTACTGGAGTGTTTTCAGGGATCAGCAATGCAAATTGGGTTGCTTATTGGCTTTCATCACTGCCAGTTTAGAATACAGCTCTCTCAGGGCTGGTAGATCCATTAACATTCATTCTGATTTTCAAATTCTGATTTTTCTCAATTTGTCTGCTTTTGCAATTGTTTTTTTCTCCTGTTTTCTTTGTTCTCATGGTATCATTCCTTTAAAAAAATTCTGTAAACTATTGTTTAAGTAGGGTTTTTATAAGGATTAGGGTAAAGATATATGTTTAGTTGACCATATTTAACATCTTTACTTGGAATGGCACCACACATCTTTATGAGCAGTTCACTTATAATCATCCTTCCAATTCTAATCACTTGACTTGGGGGTGGGGGAGGATAGTACAAAGAAAGAAAACCCTCTCAGCACAAACAGGACATTTCTTTTTTTTTTTT